ATTTGAATCCACAATTAAGGAGCGATGGCCTCCAACCTAGCAGCAATGGCCTCCACCCTAGGAGTCCCTTCCACATCTTCTGGAACATCCTTTCTTGGAGATAGTCCTACACTTGGGATGTCTACAAAGAGTTGAGAACACCCGCCTTCAAGAGCTGAATGGCCTCAAGCCTGAGCGACAAATTCTCAAAAGAGTCGTCAATCGCAACAGTGACTGGTCCACTCTTCAGTCAAAAGCTGATGCGAAAGAAAAACTTCTACGCTTGTTGATCTTTGTTGTTCTTTGTTCTTTGTTCCGTTGACCCTGCACCCGAGATCGAGACCAGTTCCCGGCGAGGCTGCAGCTGTGGATGGCTGTGTTGAACGAGCACGCATTTAAATCGACTTGGAGCCTCAGCAGTTGTTTAGTTCCTCTCTCTGTGTTTCCTCTTCAACCAGACCATGTGACCTGAAGCACACCGTTGGTTGACGATAACTTACGGCGACTTGCGGACAATGACACTTGCAAACTCACATACGGTACTCCTGTATCTGCTGGGTTTTGAGGCGTCAGCCCATCGACTGAATGGAAAAGCGAGGCCGACAACTCCTGGTTCAAACAATGCAGTCAGTGCCAGTGGAAGTTCTTCCGTGGGTGAAAACCCAGTGACCCTGGTTGACGCACGAAAGGAAGGAAAATGAATGGACTACAAGAGATGATATCCATGATGCTTTCAGGTGCTCGAGGATTTTTTATACAATTGTACAAAAAAATTGTGTTTTCCCCTCGGGCGCTTGTCAGAGACATTTGGAAGCAACACCCAATTCAAATACGGTCCGGAAAGCCGGCATCTTTCAGGGCAGCCATTGCCTCAAGAGGGCGCTTCCATCCGTGAGCGCTTTCCTGTGCCCTTTTTGGTGCCACACAACCGTTTGAACATCCAAAGTAGCGTTTGAACAAACAACCTAATGGCCTCCAACCTAACAGCGAACCATACTCCCAAACTCACATCACAAGAAACCCAATCCAAAAAAGTTCCCTTACAAAGGTGTAAACAGACTTGGAGCGAGTACAGTAACATACTGTGCCCCCCCAAATGCAACCCTTGTGTAATTTGCTCAGGATCAAGCATTGTTAACCACCTGGCCAGGTGAAATCAAGGTGCCATTCTTGTAATTTCAAAAAAACAAGGCTGCTATGCTACTCCAAAAAAGACTACGACTGAATCTCCACCTCGACATCCAGCACCCCGTGACGCTTGGAAGCCTGGATTTTGGCCGAAGGCAGTCCAAGCGTTTGGAAGAGTCTTCCAAGTTGCGCCTCTAGCAGCTCCAGCACCAAGGGCCATTGATGGACATCCAAGATGGTAACAGCAGCCTCAAATACTGCAAGCTGTCCCTGCGTTTCCGTCTTGGTTGTAGCAAAGACGGGAAGTCATCCACTCAAGTCTCAAAAAATGGTTTACAAAGGCGTTTCAAACCCTGCAAGCGTTTCATGCTCATCTCCTTGGCAAGCAAAACAGTTGTTGATATTTAACGCACCCCCAGTCAAAGAACACCTCAACAACTAGGAGCAAGAACGCTACTAGGGGCTCCTGGCCTTCTACTAGGAGCAAGAGGCTACTAGGGGCTCCTGGCATCGCTACTAGGAGCAAGAACGCTACTATTGTGGTTTGACTTCAAGTGCGGCTGCCAAATGAAGTCCAAACATGTGAGCACACACACTCGCACCAGACTGCGCAGTGACTCTTGTGTAACTGAAGACTGGATTGCTTTGCTTCTTTCCACAAGGTTCAGTTGCTTGTTTGAGACCACAAGAACTAAACAAAAATTTAAACGGCACAAGAGCCAAACACAACTGCAAAAAGCTCCTTCAGTATGATGTACTCAAAATGGAAATTGTTTGGTTTCGTGTTCAGTTCCATTGAATTATACAATGTTTAAACTGTTTCGTCTCCCAGGCCAACCATTGATCGCGATCGTCAAGGCATTTGCCCCAATGCATGACAGCTTCAAATGTAGAGTAGCATTGTGTATCAACTGCGACTACGTTTCACTTGAAACAGGAAGAGCAATAGCAATAGCAGGGTAGACCCAGACTTCCCAAAACCATCAACACCCATTGCATTGAACTGACCGCAATATCGATGTTCGTGCAAACAGCGTGCGTCTCTTGCTCCGGTAGATCTGGAGCGTCAATAAAATGTAAAAAGGAAGTCAGCTTGAACTGATGGCTACTGGCTAGTGTTTAGTGGAAAGATTTATTTCAGGTTCAGGAAAGATCATCTGCTGTATGTTGACTTTTTGCACAAACCATTCCCAAAAGTGCACGGCCACAGTGCCACCAAGGAGTCCCTTGGGCCACTAGGAGCCCCGACACTGTACATTCTCGCAGTGGCTGTGTGGGGAGCCTGGAAAAGAAATTAAATAGTGCAAGTGGCACGTGCTATTCCACTGGCTTCTGAGAGCGTCACTCGCAGTTTGGTTTGCAAAAGCCGGAGCCCCTGGCATCGCTTTTCAAGCCATCTGTGATTTGAAAACATGGAGTCAAAGGAAAAATTCGAGATTGAAAAATACAATATATTTATATATGTACACACTCTATATTATACACACTCCCTAAAAAAATGGAAGTGGAAAATGGCCCCTGAGGAAAACCATTTTCCTCCACAAACCGGTGGTGTTCCACTTCCACAAGTATTTCAGGGAGTGTGAGTGTTGCCTTTTGACATTTGTTTTGGAAATGCTATGAAATGCTGACGAATGTGCTTGAGGTTGATTGAATCTGTTACAAATCAAACTGCCATGCCCAACCACCTCCTGCCAAAAAGTTGCATTACCAAGGGAGCGAATTGCCACACGAACATCCTGCCAGAACAGACTTCAGCATGGCAAAGTCTGGACCAAAGCACCCAGCCAAAAACCCTGTGACTTCGAACACTTACTAGGAGCAAGAAGCTACTAGGGGCTCCTGGCCTTACTACTCGGAGCAAGGACGCTACTAGGGGCTCCTGGCATCGCTACTAGGAGCAAAGACGCTACTAATCAGTGGAATCTATCACCATCTCTTCCATGGGGTCCTCTGGATGCGACAGGCAACCCCTTCTCCGAAGCGAACCCAAGACCTGACGCGCGAACTGAAAGGGTTGTGAGACTGAACCAAACCGCGCTTCCAAACGCATCGAACCTTCCAAGGCATTTGAACCTGTGGCTATCAGTTCGAAGGGATTGAAGGTGTCTATGCCCATGCTGGCCTTGGTCACATTGACCCCCACTTCCGATGGCCTCGACCCACACATTATGCAGGTCCATGCGAGACTGGGGATCAATGTTCTGTGTCCATAATGTTCAGAATCTGCTAGATGGACATGGCCTTAAGTACTCCTCGATCAGAGCTTCTGAGTCTCGTAGTCTTCCACTTGGAACTTTTCTATCAAGAGAAATGCAGTCCGCGGCATCCAGTTCCTGGAGAAAACACCAGGGACTCTCCAAATGGTGCAATATGATGCATTCGCTGACACTTATTGGAAAAATACTACCGCGCACCCCATGCGGCGTCAGTCACATATGTGATCTAAATGTACCCTTTGGTGCCACACCTTCATTATCTTGACCTGTTGCCACCTGTTGCCACAACTCATCAAGCTTCATCAGCCCCTCAACTCTTCATCCATTACATGGCACTCTCGTGCAGCTTTTGCAGAAAACTTTGCGAGGGACGCTGGAGTCTGGGGTGACTGCTGTCAGCCTCCGGGAAATGTGTCAAACCCAATGGAAAACCAGCGCACAGAGCTGCAGGACATACAAAAAGGATCAAAAAGGTATATAAGGCCAGCTTATGATGTAGCTGATATAGAGCATTGAACACGACTAAAGAAGATGTTCACCGGATTTCCTCGGTATCTGCGGAGCCCACTTCGTGTTTCATTGTTGCATTGTTGCATCGGTCCAAGTGCGGAGCGCAGCTGATCCGTGCGATGAAATCGCATAGAGCATCTTAGAGCATGGTACCTGCCTACTTGAAGAAGGCTGGTGCCATCAGCTCTTTCTCAGGAAATTGTCGCTATCAGCTGATCATCAGCTCTCGAAATTCGAGTAGGAAAAAAACAGCGGCAAAGCACCCAGACGGTGCTGTTCAGAAGCTCCCAAGCTTGAAACCACCGAGCGTGTCCTTGGTGCGCAGAACACAAAACAAGGCCTGGACCTCGGGGGACATAAACCACTCAAGTTGTTTGGCGCGGGCAATCACAAGTAACCCTGGTAAAAGTCCATGACGGCGTGAACGGCGCAGGGATGATTTGATCCAGGGGGGCGAACAGAATCATCTCTTACAGGACCAAACTCAATGCACAATCCCAACTCCTGATTGTAATACATGTTTGCTAAAGCAAGGAGAACTCAGGTAGCTCAAGCTACCTTTCGTGATTTGGATGATCAGCGGTTGGGTTTGATAGGAACAGTGTGACAAAACACTCGTCTATAAGCTCCATTATCGGTCCATCCACACAAACTAAGTTAATGTTGGCTCAGCTCAATGTCACTTGGACGGCGCTTGGCCCGTCTGCTGTCAACTCCACGGTACTCCCCCCATGTGGAGTCTTAGTCATATTTCCCCATTCTGCTCTGCCGAAATCCTTGACGAAAAAACACAACAGTACTCCTGACAAGCAAGACCTTTACTGTACATCCTTTAGCGTCCTCGAGCACCCCTAGCTCCTAGCGGCTTAGCTTCCGAGGATATCCCAAAGTTCCTAGGCTTCCTTGATTCCACGGAAAAGCCCGGGTGTGCCCCGCTCCATGAAACGGCCTGTTGCCACATTCTCCAAACACAATGAAACCACATCAAATACTTCACCTACCATTTGTAACATCTTGAATGACAAGGACAGAAGGAAACCCAAACAGCACAAGTTACAAGTCACTTTGCCCAGCTTGAACAGGATACGAGCTTTGCCAAAGGCTCTTATCAATGGAATTCAAAGCCAACCCATTTTCGGACAAATGCACACCCAGGCTTTGCAGTTACCGAGTGTCTGGGCCAATGGGCTCTTTCTGCACGTTCTCTTCTGTGTAGGCACCTTGGTGCTTCCGGATTCGGACTGAATCTGAAGACAACTCCACCACCAGGTCCCGACCACCCCAGGCGCTGTAGACATACAGCCTCAGCATGGGCATTCTTCGGTACCATGGTTTAGTTTGACAGAACGGAGGTAGATACTCAAAAGCCAGCCACAGTATCACTCTCTTTAGAAAGGAATACAAAAATAGAAATAGAAATAAAAGGTAACAGGTAAGGCCCCGTAAATAAGGCCCCTTTAATTTAAGGGTGGGTGGCCTTGTTGAAGGAGCCCTTACCTTCTTTTGTTCTCTACTTCCCGTTATACTTGATTTCTTGGTGGCAGACGTCTCCCAGAAGCCATCTGGAAGCTTTGGAACCTGCGGAAGATGTGAAAGAAATATGAGGCGAAGACCACAAACCAATGAACTTTGTTGCTGAAGGCTCAAAAGAGCTGAGACTGCCACGTACTTGATCTTGCCTTGCTCAAACCTAATCAATTTAAAAGCCAAGTTGAATCGCTGGATGCACAAGAGATGACGAAAAGCAGAACTTCCAATGAAGATGAAATCAAACAAATCCCATGGCTTCATGGTTTCTTAATTTATGCTGTTCTTCCTGTAACCTGCTTTGAAAGGCTGCTGCTTGTTGCGGAAGTCATAGATCCATTCCAAGGCCTGAAAGGTGCTGAGCTTCTTCCAACTTCTATGTCTCGAGTCTCGAGCCCATAAAAAGAAAGTGAGGATATATATATATATATACTGCGACATTTACTGTCATATATATTATCTTATCATTGTTATTATATACCTCAAACAAGCCTGGCGTCACAGCTCTTTGATATTCCAATCTTCTCGTCTGAATTGCAGTGAATTATCAAGCTTGCGCTTGGTTGATAATTGACCAGACCCACCTATCTTTGGCAGGACGCAAGCATCCATGTGTGGTTACAATCCGCATCACCTGTCCTCTCGCTCCGGGATGGTCAGATCAGGGTGCCAAAAGTCCAGCACCAAAACGAAGCGGTCCTCACAAATGGAATGAAGTCTTCCGTCTTCGAGGCAAAGCGCGAAGGAACGAAGGAAGGAGGCGAAGGAGATTTAGCTTTTCAGTTTTTCCAACGGACGCTGAGTGAAGTGGAAATCCTGCGGAATCCTCGGGAATCCTTCCAGACTCTCAGACTCTCGGAACTTTCTCTGACAGCTTGCAGATGAGACGTCTCACTTCTCCCTTCTCCGACTCCTCGTCGGAGTCATTCCTGGTTGAATGCATGAAGGACGTATCCTTAGAATGAATTTGTTGCTCTTGCAACGAGGTACTACAAATCAAAGTCGTGAGACTCTGCAAACTCCCAATACCGAGTAGAGCTGAGCTGCAAAGACAATGCAGTCATCCTCCTTCCAAGGTCTCTCCTCACCTGAAGTCTATACGTCAATCCAGAAAGCATGATATGCAAGCCTGAGAAGCCAGCCACCCACTGTGATAGCACAATCAGGAGGGACCTCAAAGGACACCAAAGCCAAAACTGAGCGGTCGTGGAAGGTGCTGATAGTCAACGCCTTGTCGTGTTATGTGCGCTGGCTCGTTGGCCAACCCAGCTTTCGCATACTTTATCGGAGTCACATGGTAGGCAAAATCATTCATCTTGTTGGACAGAAACCTATCACTCAAACAGGAGGTCGGTGTCACATAGATGTCTTGGCACCACACACTAAGCCCGAAGTGCGCGGTGAGGAAGAAGTTTCTGCCTTGAAACCAAACGTGGGGCAAATGGTTTAGGAGTAAGGCCAGTAAGGCGGATGAGGAAATTTGTTATTTGAAAATCATTGAAAACCTCTACCTTCAATAGCTCCAAAACTCCGAAAGTAAAAGACTGAGAAAGCTGCCATCGCTGTGAGGCTGAACGCCGGTGCCTGGAACCTTCAATTGGGTCCGTCTCGGGTGGCTTTCTCCTTGGATCTTTTTCTGACTCGAAAGGATTCTTCTCCGTGGCCATGGTGAATCAGTGCCTTTTCGAACGTTCGATTCCGTTTAGGTCGTGCCTGTGGCACAAATCAAGGGACACACAGTCTTTACACATTGTCTGCTAAGTCTAGGCTTCGCCCCACCACATCCGCATCTCTTTGTATGCGCATGCTCGGCACAAATCAAAGCTACACCGGGCACAATGGCAAAAAAAGAGTTTTTGACTCTGATCATCTTTAAGCATTTCAACCTTGCAATGATCACATTGTACACCTTCGGCATAGATCTCTTCTTGGGGGCATTCTAAGATCAAAGGCATTGCTTCAAGGCAGTGAGGACACAAACAGGTCGTGAAGCCATCTGCGACCGTCTCGACCAGCTCAACCTTCTTTGCCACCTGAAGCCCCTCACAGGCAGAGCTCGCAGAGGTCGAGCCCACAGAGCTGGCTCGACTGGCTCGACTGGACCACGAGGCCGCAGTACTGGCGAGGCTCACACGCCGGAGCGCCGGTGAGGAAGCCGGGCTCCACTCATCAATCCTTGGTGTGCGAAAGACCTCGAAAGAACCTTTTTGCCGCGAAAAGAGTAGGCACAAAAAAAAAGCTCCACGCAAAGTCAGGCCCCCGAAACAAATGCATCACATTTCAACACAACCGTCTAAGGCATTCAAGCAGCCCAGCAAACTGCCGCAGCTGGGCTGGTTTTGCAGGCACCGCCACGGTGAAATCCAACGAGTCCCCGCGTTTCAACGGCTGCGCGCAAACCTGCACCCCAGCGTAGGTCATGAGGCGCACCTCCAGGCAAGGTTGCGCAACTGCACCAATGCAATTCAGCCTGTTTGGCTCAATGAAGAGTCCTCTGTCTTCTTCATTGATTTTGTTGACTGATATGTGTATGTATGTATATATATATATACATATGGATCATAGATTCCTCTCTTGTTTGAGTGGTGGTTGAACAGCGACAAAACCTCTAACTCCGCCATGCCTAAAAGTCCTGCCCATCCTGTCTCCTTGGTCTCAAAGCCCACTCAATACCTGGATTGACCTTTGCAACCAGAAGAGGCTCACGGGAGAAAAACATCTCAAATAATGGCTGCAGCAAAATCCAATCACTCACAGGAGTGATGCCAGATTGAGAATGACTTTGGGAATGCAGTTCAACTCTCAGGGGGACTTTGGTCCGGTTGCGCACTAACATTGAAGCTGACTCCCTCACTGTCCAAGGAGACTTCCATGCTTCCTCCAAAGGACGCCTTCGAATGCTCTCTAAGTGCCTCTCAAAACGAGTCCAGAACTTTTGGGATGAACGAGCGGACTGGAGGCTTAGACTCAGCTTGTGAGTGAAGTCTTCAAAGCTGCATAGGCCTAACAGGCCTTGGTTTTTGCCCCTGGCCACCAAAAGGCTACTTTCTGCCTCTGGCGTTCCTATCCAGCCAAAGGGATCAAGGGAGCTCCAGGACAATGCCGCATCCAGTGCACACAGCAATCCCACAGCTGTATTCCGGAAATTTTGTATTGGCCCCATCCGCGCTGTCCAACTCAGCCTTGACCCCAAGTTGGCGCCTTTCGGTTTCTCAAGCTCCAGTCTCTTGCTACACTTCTCTGTAGCATGTTCCTTCAGGGAAAATGTCCAAATGATGCTTCCAGCAACCTTTTGGTTCCAAGAAAGGTCAGAGTCAAGCGGTCCTTTTCTTGAGCCAAATCAGAGCGAATGCCTTTGTGTTCAAGGCAACCTGTGACATCGTCGAAGTGCGAAAAGCTGAAGGGGGCACACTTCTTGTTTTGTGCTGTGTGGGACTCTTTCAACCACACTCCCCCTAGCTGCGGTGCAGCTATCAATCAAAAAACTCAAACTCACCGTCCGACTCAGTGTCTTCATCAGCGGCAGCAGCCGCCATTCCATGGGTTTCACGGCCGCCAGCTGGAGTCCTTGCCCATCCACATAGGCACCTCATCAGGCGAAGCCGCAAGGATTCTTCCCAATCTTCTCTTTCTTCCATAGGGCCATCCAGACTGCGAAAGATTTCTCCACGGCGTTCCAGGTAGCCTAAGGTGATGCGGCCTTCCATGGCCCTTCGGCCTCGTGCCAAAGTGCTCGACTGCGCGCTCAAAGAGCTGGAGCTTCCTGCGGTGTCACGCCTCACGTAGCGCACCTCCCGAAGCAGCTCTCCAGCCTTTGGGACTGGCATTGTTGTACAACAATTCGACCAGGCCTTGCGGGGGTCGGACAGTTTCAATGTCAATGTTCACCTCAGTTTCAGGGCCCTCACACATATTCAAGGGCATCGGCGTGGTCTTGTCCTTGAGGTCACCATGCCTGTTCGACAAATCACCTGTGTAGGAGGACTGGCTGAGAGCAATGCCATCAGGCTTGCAAGCAATTTCAAAGCCACAAAACTTGAGCGTCTTGTCAGTCGCCCATTCAGGCAGCGCCAGTGAGCTCGGATGCCACTGACCACGCCCTTCGCCAAGCTGTCAGGAGCGGCCACAAGCATGTCGCCCACATAGACGGCAAGAAAACCACTGGCCTTCTCATGAGAGCTGAGGTGTCATCAGCCCGAATCACCTTCCAGAGGTTCGGTTCAGCTGCGCGGATCATGCAATTTGTACTTGATGTTGTTGTCCTCAAAGCGCAGCTGAGGGAGTTCACTATCAGATCACGAATGGTTTCCACAAATCACAACACGAGCTCTGAGCTTGCCACGAGGACTTTTCACTGTGAGGACCAGCGTCGCTGGCTCTAGCTCCATTGTCGGGTATCTTGGATCTGCCTTCAGCCTCTCCTCAGGTGGTAGGCTTGATGGCATGTGTCAACTGACTCAAAGAATTATATTCATCTTGAAGTGGAGGACGCCACAAAGCAATGTCCTTCTTCACCTGCTGGAGAGAAACAGCAGTGTACGTTTGCAGCACAGTAGCAAGCAGGAAGATTCGGATCCACTCCTGACGGAGTCCATTGGCCCACAACTGTTTGAGGCTCCAATGCTGTTCAACTTCACATTGATGCCAAGTTGCGACCTCCTCCCATGGACAATGCATCATGTCCAACCCCTGAATCTACCAGGCCAAGGCGCTTGATCTTCTCCACAACCAGCTTCAAGAGACGCTCCACCGGCTCCCCCCAGCCTGGATGAAAAAGATCCGCTAAAGGGCGGGGTTCAATAGGTTGTTTTCCATGAAGCCGATGGGGCACCTTATCAACATGGAGCTCCATCACCGCTTGGTCAAACAGCTGCTGATGGTACCGTAGCCGTGCGCGAGGGCTGAATAGCTCCACGGGAGTCACGCGCAATCCAGCCTGTCGACATGTACAAGCAACTGCGTGGTTTGTATGGATTGGCCAGTTGGCCAGCTTTGCGCCGCCGCTTGGCGCGAACAACTGCAGATGCTCCAAACTGAAGCGTCTGTGGACAAGGAACACCGAGGCGCAATGCTTGAGCTCGAAACCGAAGTTCAGCTGAGTGGCGGACGGCGCATGGCCAATAAGATGGATGAAGCTGGGCTGCAGAAAGAAGAACCTGAGCCCTTCGCTTGACTTGATGTAGTTCTCCTTCAATGCGCCCATTAGCTTTGGAATCGTCTCCAGCTGTCATAGTCAAAACGACCGCCCGCAGTTCACACCAGCGCTGAATCGGTTTGGTCAAAAATGCTCGCTCGCGATCGGTGTGAACTTTGTAGATGGGAACGCCGTACACGCGGTACCTCGCATGAAGGCGAGACAAAGCTGGAGTCAAGCAGTCTCCAGAGCGGTCAGCAATGAACTCTGCCAGTGTGACATTCTGCAAGGGGATGTCGCCCATGGACTTGTCAATTTCCTTGGCCTCAGTGACCAGCTTGGCTTCATCTTCAGTCAAGAGTTTTGGCGGATCAGTTTCCACCCCATCAATCTCATTGGAGACGCCCTTCAGGTCGGCCTCCGAGGTGTAGGGTTCCGTGGTCAACAGCCATTGTGAACTTGGTTGATGACCTGCCAAGACGACGATGGGGAGAGTCATACCCCGCCGATTCAGCGCAGATTCGACAATCTGCTCGAAAGGGTGTGTGATCTTGGCGTACAGTAGATGACGTTGCCAAGCGTAAAGGTCCATCTTGGACATTAGGGGTCCATCATCACAAACACGTTCGGCCTCCCTGCCTTCCAAAAACAAATGCAACGAACGTCGAATGGCAGCAACAAGACCTGGAGCCCAAGCCGGCCCTCTTTCGAGACATCCACGCGGGTGTTCAAGTCCTGTGGCAACGGACCTTGTTGGCGTCCCTCCCCCCCGAACTTCATGTAGCTGGTGGATTTGAGGGAGAGTGGACAGCGCCGTTATAGTAGTTGGCTTCCGTTGAGGATGGCCAAGCGCTCCTTGATCTAAGTGGGTCAACTCCAAGCCACCCACACCGACCCAGGACACTATCTCTGGAAAACACCAAAACGAAGCAGCGGCTTCGTCACCAGTCAGGTATGACGCAGGGTCCTGTGGTGATTCCAACAACATGCCCACATTTTGAGGAACTGGACGGCATTCCTGAGCTTGAACCCACAATGCCGTTTGTTTGAGACAGAGAGCGGAATCGCTGTGGGCAGAGAAAGTTCACGCTCCTCCAGACCTGCTAAGGACCATCGGTCAGCGCCCCTCCCCCTGACTCTTTGAGGTCCAGGAACTCTGTTGCGCATCCTAGAGACTGTTCTGCAAGGTGGTCCACCTAGAATCACTGCAATGCGGCCCTGTGTCAAAGTGGTTCTCACCGGAGCAATGGAAGATCAATGCCAAATCTGCGGCTTCAGCTTGAAGAAACATTTTTTTCAGAGCTGGAAGGGATTCTACTTGAAGTTCTTGGCGAGCTGATGCCAACCTGTATCCAACTTCGCCACCACCATGCTTCGACAGGGCATCAGCGACCTTTGAGAGTGTCTGAACAAGAATCATCGAGCCCGGTTGAGCCACCTTCAAGCGCGGATGGATGTCAGCACGTCATGCACCGAGGCTCCCAAGCGAAGATCTGTGAGGCTGCGCAGCAAGTTGCTGCGTTCAGCGCCACCTCCAGGTTGACAGTGTAAAGCTTGTACAAGATGGCAGCCGTGGCAACTTTTCGGCTAGCCACAATTTCTCGCCGAACTGCATCTGGCAAAGATGCGAGCAGTGTCGAGCTCGCACGTGGCCCATGCGCTGGAACCTCACCGGAACTTCGCCCTCCACCTTGATGCGAAGGCGAGCAAGAGGTGAAGCCACCAACCATTCATTGTACTTCACGCTGACCCCTTCTTGGACGAGCTCCCGGAACTCTTTTGAAGAGGCACTCAAGTCACCCATCCACGGGGCGATGATAGTCATCCAATCTTGAAACAGCAAGGCGGCATTCTCAGTCGACGGTGCTGGTAGAGGAGGAAAAGCGGTCATAGAGTCTGAACCAGGTTTCGGAGGTCGAGACTCACCAGAGCCTCGATGGCCACCAAAAACACCAGTCAATCCCGGAGGAACGTCAGGGGGTCCACCAAAAAAAAGGTGCGCCAGCTCGTCCTCGCTCAGTCGCTGAAGATTCCACGGCTCCTGCACTGTTCGCTGAGGCGTAGCAGTGGCACTATCCCCCTTTTCCAACTTTTGAAGTTCTCGAGCGAAGTTCTGTTCAGCCTCACGAAGAACTCGTTCACGAATCTTTTCAACCTCAACAGCTGCGGGACTCAAAACAGACAACTGGTACTGCATGGCCAGGTCCACCATGAAGAGCTTGTTGACCACCTGCGCTCCAAAATGGATTCCCAGCGCTCCCATTTGGAGTATGACCATAGGGTTCAAGCACCCTCGGCCCGCCAGCAAACCTCCGCCGCCATGACCAGTGAGAGCTGGTACTCCATGGCCTCCAACATCATGCCCTCTTAGGAGTGGATCTGAAAGACCTTGCCCTCGAGAACCGCCACCTAGAGCGTGTTGGAGTACCTCAAAACTATGACGTACTGCATGCTGAAGCTGCCCAAGCCCCAGCTGCGAAGCCCGTGGGTCTTGCAAGACCCCTGTCACTTGTTGGCCTTTTCCACCAGGATCATCACGGGGTGTCCATGAGCTTCCTGTGGCAAAGCGGGTTGGAGAGCAGCCGGCCGAGCGGGTTCTCGAGCACCAAGACCTGCTTCAAGTCGCCGAACACCTGGTCCTTCTCCGATTGGTGCCGATGAAGCCCTCATTGATCTTCGATGTTCTCGAATTTGTGCATCCAGCTCTCTATCCGCTGCTCCAATCTCCAGCTGCGGCCGCCGATCAGCATCTTGCCGTCCCTCAGCAGCAGCCGCTTCGCAAGACCGTTGGCGTCAGCGCCGGTGCGACGCTGCCTCAATGGGGACCAGCAAGCCCTTCAAAAAGGAAGGACGTGGACTTCGGCCCAACACCTCAACTTGGGCTCATAACCTAAGAAAGGTCAGGACGGACGTCGAACCGCGAGAGTCAAGCGGTCCTTTTCTTGAGCCAGAGCGAATGCCTTTGTGTTCAAGGCAACCTGTGACATCGTCGAAGTGCGAAACGCTGAAGGGGGGCACACTTCTAGTTTTGTGCTGTGTGGGACTCTTTCAACCACAGATTCAAAGGCTGTCGCTGTTTTTTATCGCACCCCCTATGTTCCCCATCATGCCTTGTCAAAGGCTTCATGATGGGCCAGGGAGGCAACCGCCAGTCTTAGGGAGCGGCGTGCGGGAGGCGTCTCCGTCGGGTTTCGTTTCTTCAACGCCAAGAACTCCGCGACCAAGTAGGCCAAGGCGGCTGCCAGCCCCTCTTGCCCACGCACCGTGCCGAAGCGTGGGTCGAAGAGCTTCAGTTCGCTCCTAGACGGAGCTCGGTCAAATGAAAGGATCATTGAAACAAGATACCATGATGCTAGCTTCTAATGTAAACAGAATCTGAAAGTAATCACTTCATGTCCTCTAGTCTTACCCCCATCCCGCCTCTCTGCCTTCATTTCCCGTCGAGACGGTGCAAGCGGTACTGAGAAGCGTCGAGCACGGCGCAGCTGCCCCCGCAGCTCCTCGCTGGAGCACCTGCGAACGGACAAAAGAAAGTGATGCTCCGATAGACACAAGGCAAACTGGTCAAAATATCATTAAACAAACAATCCACAGGGGTTGTCGCAAGTAAGTACCGAAGGCTTCAGTTGGCTAACCAAAAAATTGGGCGACCTTTAAGTACTGGATAGATCAGGAGAGTGTCTCAGACCATAGAATGCCACTGCCACATTCATCTTTAGCATAGTTCAGTCTGCAACAATATAATCCATGGCATCTGCAAGCCCTTTCGAGAGTCTGCGCCTTTGCAAGGACCGTTCCAGGATCTCCAGCAAGTGCTTCAAAGCTGCCAACGGCTCAACATTGGGTGGAATGCTCTGCCCTGCTTGCGCTCGAACCTCCTGAAGTTCCCCAGCAAAGTGATTTCATTTGAGAGTCATTGTGCCTTTTTCAGCACAATTTTGACTGTATCTTTTTGCAAGCCACACGCTTTGAACCCCATATTTGCTACTCCAGCTTGGGTCACACACATGATGCATCTATACATCTCCAGTGCCTTCCCACATCTCCACTCCTCCAAGCGTTGCTCAACAGCTTCTCGATCCCAGCACTCCGAAAAGGCTTTGGCCGCCAAGGTTGCAGAGGCCACTCCAGCACTGCCCCCGGCAGCACCCAGCACAAAAGCTTCCATTTCGGAGATGTCTACGCTCGCAACCCGAATCGACCAGAGATGTAATTGGGTCAGGCGCACCAGAGATGTCGGTCAGGCTATGTTTCAGGCTATGCCGCTATGCAATCATTCTGAGAAAGTCGCCTTTTCAGTATCGGCTCTTCAGCTCGCCTTCATAACTGCTGCAAAGGGTGCGCTCGAGCAAAGGTATGGCCAAGAAATGCATGCGACGAACATGAAAAGGAATGGAACGGCTACGCTATCTGCCACTTGCAAAGCAACAACAACCAGTAAAAAGCATATTGAAACTGCGAAACAATTGAAAGAGCTTGCAAACCGCCGAAACAAACACCATCGCCTGTCGTGCAACAATGACTCCACGCATGGCCAATGGCACGTCAGACCTGAGACACAGTTGTGGCTTGCAGTTTCCCAACCAGAACCGTGATCTTGTGACGCTTTCACCGGGCCCTCACCCTTCAAATGAAGTGCCTTGAGCCCTGTCGTTTCAAACTGGGCCATCCGAACTGCTTCAAGAGTTGTACCGTCTTGGGGAAGAGCTCACAGTTTCTCGACAACCATGCACCAAGCCGGCGGAGGCGAAAGCCAGACCAGCCACCGCCCATGACTTCGTTTTTGACCTCAGGAAGATCCGGTTCGACATCGCTCGACTTCGACAGATCCCAATCCAACAGATCTGCCCTCTGAGTATCGAACACTGTCAGAGATCAAGTATTCCTCATTGTCCTGCAAATTTAAAAAAGAACGTCTGTGAGTCTGTTTGGTCGAAACTCATTTAATGAGTTTCGACAAAACAGACTCACAAACGTTCATTACAAGGTCAGTTCATGTCCGCTCCAAAATGCTCCAAGCCTCTAACAGGTCAGCCAGCTCACCCTGCACCTTGAACAAACGGAGTGACAAAGTTCACCAACAAATATCCAACTATAAGGCAATCCTCAGTTTGCTGCATAAGGCAGTCCCGCCACGACTTTTTCCACCCACTCCGGGTTGTCGAGCTCCTCCACATTCCACCTGTGCACCAAAAGGTGGTGCGAAGAGCGAAGTAGGTGAGAGTTTCTCAGCAAATTATTTGGGGCACGCCGCACCATGGCTTTGCTGTGAGTCCAGGGAAGAATTCGGGATCGATCTCCTGAGGAAAAAGGACGCTTCTTTTTTGGCAAAAAACGTCGCTTCGCCGTTTCGTCCAAGGCTTCGCCCCCTCCTGAAGTTCAGGCAATTCCGGGATTTCCTTCTCGTACTTGCAGTACCTTGAATACCATTCGGCTTGGAGCATCGATCGAGGGTGATATGTTCTTTGATAGGCCTCCATGCTGTTTCACAGGCTTCACGCTAAACAACAGGATGACAAAGAAAAAAGTTAAAAGATATATATATATATATACTCCTCCAGACTAACACACCTCAGGCCCTCACTTGATGAACTCGTAGACACGGAGGAGATTCTCCCGCCCGAACTCTGGGACGACATCCTCCTCAAAAGACTAAGAAATTAGAATTAAATTAACTAATAGCAAACATTGTTACTACTAGTAAGGCACTTGTTACTAGTAGCGATGCACTTGTTCCTAGTAGCTTCTTGTTTCTAAGAAATATATGAGTTTGTAACGAGATGAACCTGATAGAAAAGAAACGAACACGACTGTTCCTCCTTTAAAGGAGGCCTTCCTGCCTTACCTTCCTCTTCTTATTTCCTTTGTTGTATGTTCTTATTATTTTGTTATATTTACATTATTTACATATATTTACAGTAGTAGCTGTTTTGCCCAGAGCAAGAGATGACCCTGGCGTCCCTCCTCAAAGTCCTCCTCAAGCATTTCCCAGAACTGCTGCTGCCTGAAAGCACGAGATGTTCGTGGAGTCATCAGAACCTGAAATACCCTGGAAAACCCAGTTGGTAGGAATTCCCACCTGTCGTTCAGCTCCCGCTTCACTACCCGCGTGTCCTGCACCATAAGCTCTGAACACTATCATCCAAGGCCCAAGGTGATTGGGGTGGGATCAGTCCGTGGCAGCAGTGATGGACAAATCATCCTCCGCATCCTGTCAGATCAATATCAGCCAGTCACCAGTCTGACACCGACTCAATCACGTTCACCTCAATGACTCAATCAAACGTTGAAGTATTTCAACGTTCGCAGTTCGCCCAACAGAGGCCTCAGCACGCAAAGCCACAAAACCTCAGCAAAACATCCAACTTTGCAAAGCGTGCCTCAAAACTCAAAACTCACTTGAAACACACGAAGTGCGCAAATATTTTCGGTGAATGACCTAAGACATTAAAATTGTCTGAAAATCTGAAAATCTGTCCCGACACCTGCCCGGAAGCCTTTGCGGCATCCAGCTTTTCGTGGCCGCGCCCAAGCCGCCGCCGCACAGGCCTTAGAATAGAACTGGCCACGGGGGATGTTAGGCATGTATGTGGGAGATTCGCAACTCCAATGAAATGTGAATCATCCAATCCGCTAAGACCCTTTGGAATCCCTCAGCGAGAGGCAGACAAAGAACCTGCTGCTATGGACAGCGCGTGCTGCCTCGGCCAAAATGCTTTTGTTCCCCACACAGAGTACAAGGCACATAACAAGCAACTTCCACTGTATGCATGCTTCCAAATTGCAAGGGAGCCGACACGCTTTTAGCTGAACCTGCTGGGACACCCTCCAGGCTTCCCTGCCCCGCCGATGTTCTGGAGACTCGGGGCGCCCGAGCTGCTGGGGTTCGAACATCTGGCGCTCAATGTTCGGAAAGACTGAGGAGCCTCTAATAGCTTCTTGCTCCTAGTAGTAAGGCCAGGAGCCCCTAGTAGCGTCCTTGCTCCTAGTAGTAAGGCCACCCATTGTCTTTTTCATTTGAGCCCGCTCCTACTTATATAACTAAGTCGGCGCCTACAAAATTCAGTATTAGTATGGGAGAATGTCGCTACTAGCTAGGACGCAGGATAGCTTGCGCTTCTTCAAAGAAGCTTCCCCTGCCTGAGGATGGGGGAGCTTCCTTGAAGAAGAGCTCGCACTAATGATTTGGTTCCTAGATTTTTAGGGAAACTTGTGAAACTCAGTTGGATGATGACTCGCTCTCACACCTCAGAACTCCTGTGCATAGTCACTCGACAAACAAAGCAACACACTGACCAAATCTGCAAATGGGCCGAGCATTGTGCCTATTCGTTGGCTTGAAGCCAGGAAGGCAAGCCCATCAGTACCCACAGGCAGCATTGTATTTGTGATTTGCTCTGCTGTCATGAGTTGTTGTTTTAACTCATCAGTGTTGGTGAAGGCACATTAACGGGTATTCAAGCTTCAAGTCTAAGACTAAGTCATGTACAGTATCGTGTTTAGTTTCCAGGTAGGTAGCTCCTACATTGCTTAAGTTCGCATTAAATCTGCTCAGCCATCCAGAGCCAATGCCGGGCGGCCAGTGGCAAGTCCAGACTATACTAAGTACCTTCATCAAATTGTCAAGCCCCCCTCAAACCGACCCTTCCACCCTCTTCCTGTCACTGAGCCAAGTCCTTGCTTTGACACTTCCACTCGCTTTGAGGTCTGATCACTCCCCCACCTTTGCAGAACTTGTTGGCGACACAGAACGTGTTGGATATGTCCTGCCGCCAACACGTGACACATGACAACGCGCTGACAGCTCCGGCCGCACAGCTGACGACGTCCTCGAGACCTCAGACAGCTTCGGCCGCAAAGCAAATCCGGAACTCTTGAATGGTCGTAGGCCTGCAGGGGGCCAGAGAATCGTTGTGGGTCTTCGCGAGGATTCACCTCCAGAACAGACTATGTGACCTACCTAGATTCTGAAGGGGTCCGTTTTGGTCCCTAGCTTCTTGTTCCTAGCAGTAAGGCCAGGAGCCCCTAGTAGCGAACTTGCTCCTAGTACCTAGTAGCGATGCCCTTTGTTACTAGTAGCTTCTTATTCCTTTTCTTGGAGTCTGTTTTCCTAGTTTGTTCTCCTGTTTGTTCTCTTGTTCCTTCGGTCTTTTCTACCAAGTTGCCAGAGCAGCGCCTTGGACATCAATCCGTCCATTTAAAGCAACTCCCATCGCGGATTGAGGCGTTCATGGTTATGGATGAGTCTTAAGACTACTTGCGTGATTGAGTGATGATGAGTACGGTCTACTTACAACATGTGCATGTGAAAAACACAAAGACACAAACTCTGAGCTAATTCTCAAACGAAGAACAACCCTTTATCAAGTAGAGAAGGTGGGGCCCTGCCTTTGGGTCACCTTAAACTTTCTCTCATACCAGATCTCTCGTATAGTCTCTCACCATAAAGATCTTTGCCAACATTAACTTTCATGTTCGTTCTCTGCCGTCTATTTACATGATCCCTCCACAAAGGCATCCTCCGTAGCTTACAATCAACAGGCTTGTTCCGACAAATGTCGCTCTTTCTGAGAACACGCATGCCGCGAATCAGTTCTTGAAGTCATTACAAACTGTTGATTCCCTGTGCATCAAAGCTGGGTGGCGACACCCTTGCACGGCAAGGTGCGAGTTCGATTCATGCTGCCTCAGCATTCAAAGCTGCAAAGCCAATTGACTTGAAATCGTCCGTTGGTTTAATTCAGTTGGCCGGGCGTTTCTGCCTACTCATCAGTCTGGACATGTCAGGTCTTTTCACACGCATTGGAGACCATGGAATCATCCTTGACTGTGGCTCCTAAGCGTTTGAACAGCCAACATGATTGGCTTAGTGCCACTCAGGCTCTGAACTGAATCGCAGTTCAACCCGTCTCAATGTGCAAGTGGGGTTCGCACGAAATCAATCAACTGCAAATTCAAACTGGACTGGCCCACTGCACAACTGCGGCAGCAACGCTTCAAGCCCTCTTGTTCAAATCATGACAAGAACAGGAAACAATAATGAGTACGAAAAAAGGCGCCAAAATGATGACGGCCCTTACATGGGGAGCCAAAACATGGCCTCCCACAGTTTTGAACAAGCGACAATCGTTTCTCTCGAATCTCATTGGACTCGATTGCCCGATGGCCGAAGAAAGCAAGTGCTCAGTGCGGCTTCGGGATCCACACGGAGTGCCGGATCCTTTCATTTCTTGAAGCGAAACCCTCTCTAGTCTCTCTAGACTCAAAGACCCCAAAAGAAACCCACATCCCATTTCCACGCGAGTATGACGTGTGTGTGTGTGTGAAAATGATAAGCCAAACACAAAGGTCAAACTATCTAGGCTCGTTGCTGGACATCATTATCAGTTCTAGCATGTTGTCTGGCTGCCGAAGCAAAAACAAAAAGAATGATATGAATATGAAATAATATGAATATGAAATAATATGAATATGAATATGAAACAGTAAACATTCGATTGCATCTCACTATCTTGCACCGAATTAGTGAGCCAGGGTAGAAATGTTGAGTAAGCCGGTCTGTGAAGTTGTTTACTTGTCGATGAATATGAGGAGTCAAAAAGCTGTTGCGAATCCGATGTGTTCACAAACACCTTCAAAAAGAGCTCGCCTTTCGGAAACTGAACCGCAACCTCCCACCTTAAGCAAAAAGCCACGGTTGCCACGCCCCGGGCGCCCCGCACACCCCAGAAATCCGGAAAAAGTTAGTTCGCACTGCTGATCTGTGATCCAAGTGTCAGGTGTCACGCACGCCAAGATCCTCGGAGGGCTCAAACCATCCAAGCCCTGGTACTCTTGGCCTCAAACCTAATAGCAATGGCCTCCGTCCAATAGAAAATGCTCGATATCGCTTGTAGAGGGAATCAAGAGCTCTGGCCCAAAGTTCAAGGTGACAAACAAAGCATGATATGTTTCAGCTGTCCTGTGAAAGACTTTGCTATTAGGCCTCCCTTAAATTCATGGACACAACTACACCACAAACTATAATATACAGTAAAAGTACACACAAGTTGAAGCAGTTTGTGGTCCAATGCAGCTAACACAGCGGTTGAATGAGACAGTGGAATGCATCTTCAAAAGGACCAAACAAAAGCTTGGTAATTTCTGCAACTGTGCCTTTTGTTGCCATGTCTAGGTGTTATGCCAGGGCACAACTCCACCAAGGCTTTCGCCGCCACTTGGCCAGTTTCATTTCCATTGAGCTGTAAAGGTTCCTGCAGCTCTTCATAGATCGGCCTTGGAGGAGTCAGATCGGCTGTGTCTCAGTATATAGAAGCGAAGAAAGGAAAGAACGAAAAGAATTGAAGAAAAGAAAACGAAAAGAGTCCTCTCTGTTGGGGTAAAGGATCAAAAAAAATAGATGTGGGCTTCTCTACCGGACTTGGGACTGTCTCCAACACAAAGAGAGGCTCTTGAAAACAGCTCCGGTCCCACCTCGCAGGACGTGGGAAGTCCTCGCGCCCAATGAACTTCAGCGGCTCGCCACTGGCATCAGCGCCGCATCGGAAGGCCCCATCCTGCAAGAGACATGTTGCAAAGGGTGCCGGGGATCCACTTTTCGTTTCTTTTGAGGTTTTCTGTTCATGGGAAGTGCCTTCTTGGACCCAGGACCAAGTCAGGGACATGTGAAGACTATTTGGGCAAAATGTTCCAAACCAGCAAAAAAGAATGAGGCACGATGTCAGCGGTGTTCTGCAAATCATATCCATGCAGGCGTCAAGCAAGTGAAGTCGTCTTGGTTAGTTGATTCATCTACTGTACAATACAAAACACCCACTCGAGCTAAAAAGCGCTCACGACATGCATCTGTTGGTAGACTTTGAAAGCTGCCGGGATCCTCTCTCCGAAAATGACGCTCTGACAGCTTGCCACTTCCACAGAATTTCCGCGAGAACGCTCCAAGCTGCCTCAGCTCAAAAGAGCAGTGTCCAGGCATCTCACTCCTATAGACATGTTTAGTAGTTCTACACATAATCACTGCTCCAAAGCTGCAAGCAAAATCAACAGGGCAATTAAATGCGCAAATTATGCAGGAAAAGCACTTCATTATTCGGTAGAGCATCTCGTTGTTGTCACGGCCAACAAAAAGGAATCTGCCTGTGACCATTTCGAACACCGTGCAGCCAGCACTCCACACCTTGGCACATGCACGCCGCACATCCAAAAATAGGACAAAGCTATCTGGAGGATGGAAGGAGGACGTCGCCGCTCTTCTGACCGTTGGAAATCAGCTTCTCAATGGTGCAGTGTCACGTGTGTCACGTGTGTCACGTGTCACATTACTGGTCGCGTGGCGACTGGTGGCGACTGGTCGCGTGGTTAGCAGTGGACACAAGGCATGTTCTTGCCGACATTGCAAATACCACTGTTCTGCCGCAGCGGAACTTCTGGGAGTGACCTGGCATGACCTGGTATCTTGCTTCACTTTCATCACTTCCAATTTCAAGAACCCCTTTCAGCCTCCGAATATCAGGGCTGATATACATCCATGGAGCAACCCTGCTAAACTCTAAGACTCTAGTCAGCACGGGGCAACGATGCTTACAAACCCAATTTGACCGTTTGCATTTGCCGTGGCACATCGATTTGCGTGTCATACGGCAAGCCCAAGATCACCTCAGGCGCCCGGTAGAAGCGCGGCTGCAGGGATTCAGAGGCCTTCTCTGCGCGGAGACGATCCTTCACATCCATGGCTGACCCAAAGTCCGACAGCTTGACGGACATCTTGTCCTCAACGAACCGGTTCCCAGATTGACGAAACAGTTCGGAAAAGAACGAGTTCTGCTTGGAAACGATTAGGATAGGTTTTCAAGAACCCAAGGAATGGGACTTTACGACGTATGTTACAAAAAGCGTTGGTTTGAAATAAGCTAGCAAATCAGCAACTCGGCCCCCTCCCCACTCTCAACCATGGAGCCATCGACACCAAAAGGTTGTCTGGCTTCAGGTCACTGTGTACAATGCTCACCAGTTTCAAAGCGCGCAAGGCCAAGAACATGTTCCGAGCCTCATAGGCACACGGAATGAGCACGTTAGAGATTCTGTTCCACACGTTTTGCCCAAACATGGGGATTGGGGCTACCTTCATGCGGCCAAGTGGCATAATTTCGCACGAGCCCAAGAGGCAAACCCGCTCCTGTGGGCGCAGGAGAGAAGAGAGTTCTCACGAACGCATCATTGACGTACAAAAAAGAGTTGTGACATGCACGTTTTTTCAATAGAAACTGATGAAAATGCAAAAAAAAACACCACACACTCTCAGCCAACGTCCTTGACCCCAACGCTTCAAAGCTGATCGCAAGTCACATCTTTGAAGCTGGAAGCAAAGTGCCAAATGGCCTTCGTGCTCGATCACCTGCAGGCTGGGTTTCGCGAAATCTGTTTCACCATCGGAATCCGGCATTTCTGACCGTTTCTTGCAGAGACCGGGCGTCTGGACTTTGCATGTATAAATGGATTTTTAAAAAAGACCTGACATGCCGGGTTTTCGATGCGCTCCGCAGTTAGCTTCTTGCTCCTAGTAGCGATGCCAGGAGCCCCTAGTAGCTTCTTGTTCCTAAGTCAAAAAAGAAAAGGTTAATGTTCCATGTGAACAGCCCTCACCAGCTCTTCAGCTACTTGTTCCATATTCTCGTGTCACTGGGCACAGTATTCTACCTGTTCCACCAAACCAGAAGCAGGAGATAACCCCCAACAGCCTTTAGGACTCTTGCCAAGCCGAGAACACAAGCACAGGTGTAAGAAAGGTCCACCATTCACTTGCTACGACAGTTCAACTTTTTTGCCGGTCACTGTAAGAAATAGTACATAAAACGAAAGATATTCGCTGGTTCCGGCCATTCGCCTGTCGGCTCAGCCGTCAGTAAAGACCGACTCGCCGTTTTTTCAACGCGCTCTGCAGTTAGGGCAGGAAAATTACAGGTGAACGTTCCAGGTGAAGAGTTTCCGCCAGCCCTCAACCTCCTGTCTAGGAGCGCGTCTGTTTTTGGGCAGGATTTTCGTCCTCGAGTGGCCTCTGTGGGTCCCGCCTTTTGCTCCTTATCGCGCCTGTTGTGGTGTCGAAGAATGTCCAACTCGCCAACTTGCCAGGACGCTGCCAACTCGCCCGATGTGAGCAAAACGTCTGATGTGGTGGTCTTGAAGCTAGGAGCAAGGACGCTACGGACATAGCTCCTGGCCTTACCACTAAGAGGACGAGAGGACGCTACTAGTAACAAAGGGCATCGCATGTCTCTACTAGTAGCTCCTGGCCATACTACTAGTAACAAGAGGACGAGAGGACGCTATTACTAGTAAGAAAGGGCATCGCTACTAGGAGCAAGGACGCTACTGGTAGCTCCTGGCCTTACTACTAGTAACAAAAAGCTACTAGGAACAAAGGGCATCGCTACTAGGAGCAAGGACGCTGCCAACATAGCTCCTGGCCTTACTACTAGTAACAAGAGGACGCTACTAGTAACAAAGGGCATCGCTACTAGGAGCAAGGACACTACTAGTCGCGTTCTGCAGTTAGTGGTGGTGCGCAGAAAATCTGTACAGCCGATGGTTCGCACACCGAGAGTTAAATTTACCTGATAGTCACGTGGTCAGGCCTTGCTATTGCTTCCAAAACATTCATATTTGCTGTGTTTCTGGGTCCCTGATGCAAAAACAACTTGTAAATACCGTGGTTTTTTTTCGGCTGCCGGGGATCAAAACCATTGAGTCTACACCAACAATCCTCATGGCATCACCGCTTTGCAAAGCTCTACAATATATTTAATATGTACTGTTTGTTATGTATATATATATATTATGTCCAAATGTAATTGAGTGTACAAACCAGGTGGGGCGTAGGGAAACGCCCAGGCAAT